CTCGAGTTCCCCGCATTAAACTCGTCCTTATATCACATCTTGTCTACAATGGGGCAACGCGGTCAATATACTTGAAACGACTTCTAGCTTCTTGCCTACCTGTTCCGGGGTCCCGCGAATTTTTGTCCTTGGCCCGAGTCTACGCGCTCGAGTTCCCCGCATTAAACTCGTCCTTATATCACATCTTGTCTACAATGGGGCAACGGGGTCAATATACTTGAAACGACTTCTAGCTTCTTGCCTACCTGATCCGGGGTCCCGCGAATTTTTGTCCTTGTCCCGAGTCTACGCGCTCGAGTTCCCCGCATTAAACTCGTCCTTATATCACATCTCGTCTACAATGGGGCAACGGGGTCAATATACTTGAAACGACTTCTAGCTTCTTGCCTACCTGTTCCGGGCTCCGGCGAATTTTTGTCCTTGGCCCGAGTCTACGCGCTCGAGTTCCCCGCATTAAACTCGTCCTTATATCACATCTTGTCTACAATGGGGCAACGGGGTCAATATACTTGAAACGACTTCTAGCTTCTTGCCTACCTGTTCCGGGGTCCCGCGAATTTTTGTCCTTGGCCCGAGTCTACGCGCTCGAGTTCCCCGCATTAAACTCGACCTTATATCACATCTCGTCTACAATATACCTGACACATCTACAATCTTCAAAGTTTCAAATGCAACGTCAATCATTATACCCTGTTCTTTTTATTGACCTCTCCCGCCAACAACGTTTTCCCAGAGGTTTAATCACCTTACTTCGAGCGAAATGTTTTAAAAAGAAAAAAAGAAAAAAAAATATAGACATCAGATGACATCGGTTGTGGCCTGGTGTGAAATGAGCCCCACCAGATGTACTTTGACCAAACAAGACACACATGGCATGCATGAATACCTTCCAATACACGTGAAGGGAGATGGTCAGTTGATTTCTTAGTATTGAAAGTGTTATAGTCCGGTTCCTTGTACCACGGTGATAGTCCAAGGTAGAACCAATAAAAAAGAACTCGAACACGGATATGGAATAACACAGATATGTTACAGACAGGAATATATACAGAGAAGTAGAAGTGTTAGTATGAACAATCAGGTTTAGTAGAGAGAACAATGTAGTCTCGACCAGTATCACTATTCCAATGTCTTGCAGTAATTGTCTGAACGCGACTCTGTTTCGGACTGCCTCTGACTCGACTCTTGACTCGACTTTAACTACTGACTCCACTTGAACTACTGACTTGTCTTGAACTACTGACTGACGATATTCAGTCACCCCCCACGAGGGTGTCATGTGGCACAAGGCCTTTTTAACGTGGGCATTCCGAGCCGGTGGGCTCGGCCAAAAATATGCCCATTTAACCCGTATAAACGGGTTCAGGGCAGGTTTTACCTCCCCGAAGGAGCCTCCGCCCCTCGGCGTAGCCTCCGCCCCTCGGCGTAGCCTCCGCCCCTCGGTGTAGCCTCCTTCGGGTTCCTCCCGTCCGTAGGAAGAGAGTACAACCGAACAGTCGGTTCAGAGTTGAACTACTGACTGACTCCTTGCCTACTCCTGAGGCGCAGTATTTATTAAGTAACAGAAATAAAGTATCTCTTTCAATACTAGGGAATCAACTGACCAGTGTATCGCATCTCCAGAAACTGGAAGACCACACCACACGGTAACACGTTCAGTAACTTTTGAATTTTTGCTGGGTGATCTGTAGCACAATAAACTGAATCAATAGCTTCATCTACCGCAAGAAAAGTTGGTTCTCTGTGTCGCGCCAGGAATGTTTTCGTGTCCGAATCCATCCTTGAAATCTATAAATCAACCATTTGCCCTTGCATGGAATACTGTTGCCATATATGGTCTGGAGCATCCGCTGTTCGTTTCAAGAACCTCGACAAAACCTAGAAACGAATATGCAATCTGGTTGACCCTGATCTGGCATCTCGTTTACAGTCGCTCTCTCACAGACCTGCCGTCGCTTCCCTCTGTCTTTTCTACAAATATTTTCACGGTAACTGCTCCGACACGCTACTTTCGCTGGTTCCCAAACTGCATGATATTAAACGTGCTACTAGTCCCACCCTTTCACTGCCGAAACGGTTAAATGTAGCCGTCTCTTCTACTCCATGTCTCGCACTTCCCGCCTGTGGAACTCCCTTCCTCTTACTTGCTTCCCTGATAGCTATAACCTTCAATTATTCAAATGCAATTTCAATCGACATCTTCAGATGCCTTGATCTAATTCCGCGTCCTATTCATGCTTTCCTCTATCACGCCTCCTTGCTCTTGCTCCCAAACTCTGTAACCCCTTGCGTGCCATTGGCACTCCCGCCTCACTTGGGGTGAAATGCTTAACACAAACAAACAAACAAACAAACAAAAAAGTGCTGCTTCTATCAAAGTCAACGTTCTTTTGTTTTCGAGTCGAAATTTCTCAACTCAAAAACAAAACCCTCTCAGAATCATGGGACTGAGTGTTGAGGTCTTTTCGTACTAAGAGAATGAAAGAAATTGTAAGAATCTTCTCGAGTAATGCATATTAGAATAACAGAATCACGGGACTGAGTGTTACGGTCTTTGCTTATGTGAGAATGGATAATACTGGAAGAATATCACCAAAAATCTAAACAAATCACAGTTCTTTTCTTACTCTGATAATGGATGACAGAAGAATTTAACCTCAACCCGACTAGAACAGCGACGTTTAACAGAATCACAGGACTGAGTGTTAATGTGTTTTCATAAAGTGAGAATGAATCATATTTGAAGAATTTCTAATCCCCGTCTAGAACAGCGAAGTTTATCAGAATCACAGGACTAAGTGTTAAGGTGTTTTCTTACAGCGAGAATGGACAACATTTGATGAATTTCAACTACCCGACTAGAATATCAAACTTTAACAGAATCACAGGACTGTGTGTTCAGGTGTTTTCTTACTGTGAGGATGGATAACATTTGAAGAATTTCAACTCCCTCACTAGAACACTGAAGTTTAAAAAAATCACAGGACTGTGTGTTAAGGTGTTTTCATAAAGTGAGAATGAATTATATTTGAAGAATTTCACCCCCCCCGACTAGAATACCGAACTTTAACAGAATCACAGGATTGGGTGTTAAGGTGTTTTCTTACTGTGAGAATAGATAACATTTGAAAATTTTCAACTCACCGACTAGGACACCGAACTTTAACAGAATCACAGGACTGAGTGTTAAGGTGTTTTTTTTTTACAGCGAGAATGAATAATATTTGAAGAAGTGTAACTCCTCAAGTAGGACATCGAAAACAAACAGAATGACAGGACTGGGTGTTAAGGTTATTTTAAAATTTAAAATACGTTTAAAACTTGACGTATGCCCGCGCGTACAAACGAAGTCCTGAAGCTGAAGAAGGATATGATGGATTTTCTTTTTGTCTATGGAATTTTTTTTTCTGAGATTTTGTAAGCTGAATCGTGTCTTGAATCTCTTTTTACAGGTTCAGAGTATTCATGAATGAAGTTAGTGATTCCCCCAACAGCACCATTTCGCCACCATCGTTATTAATGCGTGAGTAAATTTTTCCTTTTCATAGTACGACTTGATGGCCCACCAGACATGTGCGCGTGCTTATAGGGGCGCGCGGTGTTCGTTGAACGACGAAGATCTGTGATGGACTATCAGGTAACAAACAGCCGCCCTGGCAACAAATGTGGCGGCCGACGCTGTGAGTGGGTAAGTGAACGTGGAAGAGAACTGGGAGAATCCGGAGACGTTATTGATGCTGGTGGCTGGCTTGAAGTTAAAGGGCCAACCAAAACGAGGAACAGAAAAAGGAACTGTCAAAGAAACGAAAGTGAAAAAAAAATAATAATCGGGGTGGGAGTGAGAAGGACGAAAAAAAACGAAAGATGAATAAAAGAATGCTTTCAGAATGAAGAAAGAAAATGGCGCCATCAACACAAATGAGTTTTAAAAAGGTTAAAGAATGTTCATACTGAGGCTATTAGGTAAAAACAACAGCCAGGCACAAAACAACAAGCTATCAGAAATAGATAGATAGATAGATAGATAGATAGATAGATAGATAGATAGAAGTAGATTTAGATAGATAAATAAATAGATAGAGAGACAGAAAGAAAGAAACAGGCTGAAATAGATAGATATATATGAAAAGAATGACATAAATAAATTTTGCCAGATATATGCCTATCTATACAAATGAAGAAACTGAAATAGATACATAACTATAACGAGATTAAGACAGAAAGATAGATAATCGATAAATAGATATCGAACAACTGGATTAGATAATTGGACTGCTATATATATATATATATATATATATATATATATATATATATATATAGAGAGAGAGAGAGAGAGAGAGAGAGATGGAGGGATGGAGGAGAGAGAGACGACGACGAGATTGAAAAATCTGACCGATGTATATGACATGATTGAAATTGATGGAGATTAGTAGATTAGGATAGATAGATAGATAGATAGATAGATAGATAGATAGATAGATAGATAGATAGATTCAAAACCTGGGAAGGATAAGTAGACAGATTTTTTTTAAAATCGGTATCACTCCATGCTATGCAGTAAAGCCACTAAAACAAGGTGTAGATGAATGACGAAAAAGAAATATTTATAAGGAGCGGGAAGAATAAAGAGTAATAAGAAAGATAGAAAGACAGTATATAGCGAGTGACATTGCATGTAATATATATATATATATATATATATATATATATATGGAGAGAGTGAGAGAGAGAGAGAGGGACAGAGAGACAGAGGGATAGAGAGTGATAGGAGAGCCGACTGAAATAGATTGGATGAAAAATTATGACTAGTCTTCTATATATAAGAGAAATTGATAGATACGTATCAGACTGCTATAGACGGATATATAGATATTCATACACTGAGATAGATAGATAGATAGATAGATAGATAGATAGATAGATAGATAGATAGATAGATATTAACACTGAGATAGATATGGACTCATTTAGATAGATAGATAGATAGATATTAACACTGAGATAGATATGGACTCATTTAGATAGATAGATAGATAGGTAGATAGATAGATAGACAGAAAAAAGACTAGATAGATAGATAGATAGATAGATAGATATTAACACTGAGAAAGATTTATAGATAAATAGATAGATATTAACAGACTGAGATAGATAGATAGATAGATAGATAGATAGATAGATAGAGAAAAAAGACTAGATAGATAGATAGATAGATAGATATTAACACTGAGAAAGATTTATAGATAAATAGATAGATATTAACAGACTGAGATAGATAGATAGATAGATAGATAGATAGATAGATAGATAGATAGATATTAACTGATTGACATAGATAGATAGATGGATAGATACATAGATAGATATTGACAGACTGGGATAGATAGATACATAGATAGATATATATTAACAGACTGAGATTAATGTATCTATAAATACATAGATATTAACAGACTGACTTAGATTAGATAGATAGATAGATAGATAGATAGATAGATAGATAGATAGATAGATAGATATTAGCAGACTGAGATAGATAGATAGATAGATAGATAGATAGATAGATAGATAGATAGATAGATAGATATGCACATGTGACATGAAAATAAAAATAATTTAATGAATTTTAAATAAAACGAAAAGGTCAGGCTCAAAGGCAAAGGCCTTGGAATGAAGATGCGCCCTCATAAAATCCCGTGTCAATTGAAAAAGCGACGGAAGTAACTGTTGCTGGAAAAGCAAATAATGGAACTCTACAAAGGGCAATACCATTGATAATGTCGTTGAAGATGGGCCGACCAGTATGGGCGGGGAAAACGCACACAGTACTCGCGGTTCGACCTGGGTCAGTAAGACGAATGCGGAGGAAAGGAAATAGTGGCGAGAAAAGACTCACGAACCGAGTAGGAAACAACGAAGGTTGGGGGGGTGTTTGAAGGCCTTACAAATAGCGAAGGCAAATAGAAATAAAAGGAAAAAAATGAGGGAAGGCATAGAAAGAAATAAAGTGCCACAAAACTGGGCGAACGAACACGGAAACAAATCACCCTCATGGTGAACCAGTTGTCTGATTGGCTAATAAATCATGATACGGTTTTGTTCCTATGATCGATATAAGGCTCCCACTCTGTTTCGCATAAAGGAAAGCATAAAGTGGTTTCTTTTTTCTTTTCTTTTCTTTTTATATTATTATCTTTTTTATATATATATATATATATATCTCGTGCGGAGTTTGCCGAATAAAATATTAGAAGAAAAAAAAAAAAATTGGTGTTTCGTTAAAAGTCAATGGAAAATTTCCATGTGTCTCTCTCTTTCTCTCTCTCTCTCTCTCTCTCTTTCTCTCTCTCTCTCTCTCTGAATTGGAGTTCCGACCTGGGTATGACGATAAACTACATCCGCGTCCAGGGAGAGACGATAAACTACATCCGCGTCCAGGGTGAGACGATCAACTACATCCGCGTCCAGGGTAAGACGATAAACTATGTCCACCAGCAAGGCCTCTGATCAGGAGTTTTTTGAGGAGCGTGGAAACACCTTTTAATTACAGGTGTTCCCAGGTTCATCCTGACCCGGGGTGGTAGCACCTGTTATATGTTAGGGCCCCAGTATGGGCAACTTGTGACCCCCCCCAGACAAAAACAAAACATTGTAAATGAAAGAGATGTAAAAGAGTTTATTAAAATTTAGAACTATTACTTACATAGTCTGTCTATACTTCTGAGATGAGGTATTATGTACACTATTTACATTATTCGGACTATTGTCCTCATCTTTATCGCCATATTTATCACAACGTTTCGGCCGTTGTACGCTCCGGCCTTCTTCAGGTGGTTGGAATGTCGAACTGACCCCTTTATTTCGCTCACTGGGGTAGTTCCATTTGCCACTGTGAATAAAGGACACATGGCATGGCGTTGGTTAGATCCAGTGACATGACCCAAAGAGTGTGAGTTCAATACCCGGTTAAGGCAGTGGAGAACTTTTAGAGGGATATTAACAAGATAACTGATAGCTGTCATCCATCAAACATGGCACGTGGAACTAGAACAGTCTACCCCAGTGAGCGAAATACAGGGTTCAGTTCGACATTCCAACCACCTGAAGAAGGCCGGAGCGTACAACGGCCGAAACGTTGTGATAAATATGGCGACAAAGATGAGGACAATAGTCCGAATAATGTAAATAATATTACTTACCTTATTGCAAGTTTGTAATTCAGCAATATTTGCCAGCAATTGAGAAGATTCATTTCCCTCGGAACCCTAAATACAAACAAAAAGAAATAAAAACAATATGTTTATTTAATTGAAGTCATTATTTAATTAACACAAACATTTTTTTTTTACTTGTCTTGTTAGAAAGAAATATCGGGAGCTTTTGAGAAGTGTGGAATCACTTCTTAATTGCTGGTGTTCCCAGGTCCACGCAGACCCCGGGTGGTAGCATCTGTTAGGGTCCTAGCTATGGGCAAATAGTTAACCCCGAAACTGAGGCAAAAAGCATAATAATAGTGTAAAAAATAGGTTTTAATACCAGAAATACTTTGTAAAAAATTATTACCAGAAATAAATTTTTGAAGAAAAAAAACTATTACAAGCAATATGTTTTTTTAAAAAAAAATATTACCAGCAATACGTTTTTGAAAATAATATTACCAGCTATACATTTTTGAGGAAAAAAATATTACCAGAAATAGATTTTTGACAAAACAAAATATTACCAGGAAAAAAAAAATGTCAGCATTAAATAACCATTGAGGTTGATATACCGTAAAACAAAACAAACCTAACCAAATTGAATTGAAGTTAGTAAATTCTCTTAAAAATATCTGCTCACTGTGTAAAGGCTTAACCACAGTCCATGTTTACAAGTGCAGAATTCGAGGCGGCTTGCCCCCGATGGAAAACTTAACAAAATTATTTCAAAGACAATTCGCTAGTATAATGAATGACCTATAATGAGGAAAGAGGGCTTGGAAAATCTGATACTCACGGGACAGATAGAGGGCAATAGGGACAAAGGAAAACAACGCATAGCATACTTAGTGAGCTTGAGTAAATGAATGGCGGAACAAGTCTTAGGAGATATAACAAATAGACAAAGATTATTAAAAGCTAAAAGAGACAGGAAGTTGTGGAGAGCCATGATTGTCTACGTCCTGAGGGAACACGTCGCATAAAGAAGAATAATGATTTTAATTCTTCACCTCGCGCTCAGTTTTGTTATCCTTGTGCCAGACTTGATTGATCTCGGAATGGCAATTTGTTTTTTTTACGATAGCCAATAATATAGCATCAAGTAATCCATCCAGTGCCTGATGTTAAATAACGATTCACAAATTAGATATACACTATACCAGACAACGAATCGGTCACGACTCTTCACAGCTTTCATTTATTTAATATAGCGGGATCGAATACCATATGAGCAAGGCTCTGTTGAGCATTCGCTAGGGTATTCTTCTGACATGAAGGCGAATGTCGCAGCCTGCCCAGTGAAACCTGTGGCGACGAAATTCGGTCTTCGATGTTGATTGCATTGACCTTTTCAAAGTCCACAATGTCTGGCGTATAGGATACCCATTGGTTACCAAGAACTGATCCTAAATAGCATCAATTGAATCCATTAGCCTGCAGAATGTCGGGGAAAAGTGGGCGATGGCCCCAGGCATTCATATAGGGAGGAAATTCAATCAAAGAGTGAAATAAAAATTTAGTTTTTGAAATTTGAAATTGTCTCTGTTAACTTCTTTGTACAAGCACCCTGCAGTCCTGCAATTTGGTGTGAATGCGAACGTGAGGTCGCGTTTCTTCTGAGCTAGAATGTTGAGCATTCGCTCGGGTATTCTAAGAATAATGCTGCCTCCCCTGTGAAATCCGTAGCGATGACTACGCCATTCGATGTAGATTGCATTAGCCTTTTTCTAGGTCCAAAATGTCTGGCGTATAGGATATCCATTGGTTACCAAGAACTTATCCTAAATAGCATTAATTGAATCCAGTAGCGTGTAGAAGATGGGGGGAAAAGTGTACGATGGCCCCGCACATCCATATAGAGCAGGCATCCAATCAAAGGGTTGAATAAAAATTTAGTTTTTGAAATTTAAAATTGTCTCTGTTGATTTCGTTGTACAAGCACCCTGCAGCCACTCAGGCTGGGGTGAATGCGAACCCAGGATCTTATGCCTTATCAGCAAGACTCTGTCGAGCATTTGCTCAGGTTGACATCAAGGCGAATGATGTTGCCTGCCCAGTGAAGCCTGTGGTGATGAATACGTTCTTCGATGTTGATTGCATTGGCCTTTTTAATGACCACAATGTCTGGCGTATAGGATATCCATTGGATGCCAAGAACTGAGTCTAAAGAGTATTAGTGGAATCCAGTAGCGTGCAGAAGGGAGAGATGGCCGCGAGCACCCATATAGGGAGCGAATTCAATCAAAGAGTGAAATAAAAATTTAGTTTTTGAAGTTGTCATTGTTAACTTCGTTCTAAAAGCACCCTGCAGTCCCGCAAGTTGTTGTGAATGCGAACATGAGGTCGGTTGTCTTATGAGCAAGACTGCTGAGCATTCGATCGGGTATTCTGCGAATGACGCTGGCTGCCCAGTGAAATCTGTGGAGATGACTACGCCCTTCGATGTGGGATTAGCCTTTTCAAGGACCACAATCTCTGGTGTGTAGGATTCCAGGACACCAAGAACTGACCTAAATGGCATTAGTGGAATCTAACCTACAGAAGGCAGGGGCAGATGATGTAGGCATCCAATCAAAGAAGTGAAGTTTTGGAAATTGTCTCTGTTAAGAACAAATTACAGTCTCACAAACTCGTATGAATGTAATGGCATTTTTGTAAAATACAGGAGTAGGTCCCCTGCGAGTCTTGGGACTTACAATCAAAGCACTATAGCTGGGGGCATGTGGACCTGGGGTCCACAATATGAGCAAGACTGTTAAACATTCTCTCGGCATGCTGGGAATGACGCTGCCAGTGAA